TTGCATTGAATCTGTAGATTGCTGTTTGTAGGATTGCCATTTTTACTATGTTGATCCTACCTATGCAAGAGCATTGGATATCCTTTCCATATTCTGGTATCTTTTTGATTTTTTTTCTTCAGAGACTTAAATAAAGTTCTTTTTTTTTTTTTTTTTTCGAGACGGGGTTTCTCTGTGGCTTTGGAACCTGTCCTGGAACTAGCTCTATAGACCAGGCTGGTCTCAAACTCACAAAGATCCGCCTGCCTCTGCCTCCCGAGTGCTGGGATTAAAGGTGTGCGCCACCATCGCCCGGCTTAAATAAAGTTCTTGTCAAACAAATCTTTCACTTCTTTATTTAGTGCAACCCCAAGATATTTTATGTTATGTGTGGCTATTTCGAAGGGTGATGCTTCTCTGATTTCTTTCTCAGCTTCTTTATCATTTGTGTATAGGAGGGTTATGGACTTTTCTAAAGTTGATCTGCAAATGATATGATAGTGGAAGTTTAACTATTTCCTTTCTAATTTAAATCCCCTTGATCCCCTCTTGTTGTCTTATTGCTATAGCCAGAACTTCAAGAACTATGTTGAATAGATATAGAGAGTGTACAGCCTTGTCTTGTTTCTGATTTTAGTGAAATCACTTTGAGTTTCTTTCCATTTAATTTGATGTTGGCTGTTGGCTTGCTATATATTGCTTTTATTATGTTTAGATATGTCCCTTATATCCCTGATTTCTCCACGATCTTTATCATGAAGAGGTATTGGAATTCGTCAAAATGAGGTGATCATGTGATCTTTTTCTTTCAGTTTATTTATATGATGGATTACATTGATAGATTTTCTTATGTTGAACCACCCCTGCATCTCAGGGATGAAGCCTACTTAGTCATGGAAGATAATTTTTTGATGTGTTCTTGGATTTGGTTTGCCAGTATTTTACTGAGTATTTCTACATCAATGTTCATGAGTGAGATTTGTCTCTAATTCTCCTTCTTGATTGGTGTCAATTCGTGTGGTGGTATTGTATCAGGGTAACTATAGCCTCATAATGTTCCTTCTGTTTCTAATATATGCAACAATTTGAGGAGTATAGATATTAGCTCTTATTTGGAGTTCTGGTAGATTTCTACACTGAAAACGACTAGCTCTGGGCTTTTTGGTTGAGAGCATTTTGATAACTGCTTCTATATCCTTGTAGATCATAGGTGTATTTAAATTTTTCATCTGTTTTTGCTTTAATTTTGGTGTGTGGTATCTATCCAGAAAATTGTCCATTTCTTTTACATTTTCCAATTTTTTGGAGTACAGGTTTTTGCAGTATGACCTAATGATTCTCTAAATTTCCTCAGTGTGTGTTGTTATGCCCTCCTTTCATTTCTAATTTTGTTCATTTGGATGTTCTCTCTCTGCCTTTTGATTATTTTGGATAAGAGTTTTTTCTATTTTACTAATTTTCTCAAAGAACCAGCTCTTTGTTTTGTTGATTCTTTGTATTTTTTTCATTGTTTCTATTTTACTGATTTCAGCCCTCAATTTTATAATTTCCTGTCATCTACCCCTTCTGGGTGCATCTGCTTCTTTTTGTTTTAGAACTTTCAGGTGTGCTGTTAAGTGTTATGTAGGCACTTAGTACTATAGCGCCATGGATCCAGCCCTGCTCCAGAGTTTCATCTTGAGGACAGTTTCTGGTCAGCCAGCTAAAACATCCTGTTTGTTTCTGTGCTCCCTCTGCCCCTTCTAGTGATTAGCTGTAGGGCACTGCTCACTCCATCTTAGGTGTGGCAATTTCCAACCTACCTGGGGGAAACTCCTTGTGCAGGAGCTAGGTATATAAGGTTTTCCCTAAGTTTGAATAAATGGCATTCGGCTTATCTCCTTTCAAATGACCCAGGTCTCTTGTGTGTTCTTTCAATCTCCAGGCCCTTGCCTGGCTCACGTGCAGTACAGTGGCGCACAAATTGTACCGAGTGGGTAACACAGACACAGGTGTTACAATTGGAGACATGGCTGGGAGGCCCAGAAGCGAGATCAGGAAGTAGGAGACCCCTGAGAGATCACCCTCGGAAGGCTGGCCAGCAGGTAAGAAATTGATTGGTGAGGGTGAGTTGATAATGGATGCAAGTAATTCTGTTCCAGTATTGACAGCCCATTAATGGGCCAATTGTTGGTTCTTTTCAAGAAGCAAGACAAGGAAGGCACCGATATTAAAAATAGACAGTACAAGAGTTCTTTTTTTATTATTTATTTATTAAAAATTTCCACCTCCTCCCATTTCCCTCTCACTCCCCCCACTCCCTCTCCCCCTCCCTCTCCACTCCTAAGAGAAGTCAGGGTGCCCTGACCTGCGGGAAGTCCAAGGCCCTCCCCACTCCATCCAGGTCTAGGAAGGTGTGCATCTAAACAGACTAGGCTTCCAAAAATCCAGTACATGCTGTACAAATCCCAGTGTCATTATCATTGGCTTCTCAGTCAGTCCTCATTGTCAGCCACATTCAGAGAGTCTGGTCTGATCGCATGCTCCTTCAGTCCCAGTCCAAATGGCCTTGATGAGCTCCCATTAGATCAATCCCACCATCTCCATGGGTGGACACCCCCCTCGCGGTCCTAACTTCCTTGCTCACGTTCTCCATCCTTCTGCTCTTCATCTGGACCTTGGGAGCTCAGTCCAGTGCTCCAGTGTGGGTCTTTATCTCCATCCATCGCTAGATGAAGGTTCTAAGGTGATATGAAAGATATTCATCAGTGTGGCTATAGGATCGGGCCATTTCAGGCATCCTCTGCTGCCCAGGGACCTAGCTGGGGACATCTCCTTGGACACCTGGGAACCCCTCTAGAGCCAAGTCTCTTGCCAACTCTAAAATGGCTCCCTTAACTAAGATATCTTCTTCTCTGATCCCATATCCACCCTTCCTCCATCTCAACCATCCCATTCCCCCAAACTCTCCTCAATCCTCCCCTTGTCCCTTCTTTCTCCCCATCTTCCCTTCCCCCCCACCCCCACCCCCGTGCTCCCAACTTTTGCCCAGCAATCTTGTCTACTTCCAATATCCAGGAGGATAAATATATGCTTTTCTTTGGGTTCACCTTCTTATTTAACTTCTCTAGGATCACAAATTATAGGCTCAATGACCTTTGTTTATGGCTAGAATCCACTTATGAGTGAGTACATACCATATTCATCTTTTTGGGTCTGGGTTATCTAACTCAGTAAAGTGTTTTATATTTCCATTCATTTGCATGGAAACTTCAAGATGTCATTGTATTTTACCACTGAGTAGAACTGTAAAGGGTATATTGCCACACCTTCTTTATTCATACTTCTATTGAGGGTCATCTAGGTTGTTTCCAGGTTCTGGCTATTACAAATAGTGCTGCTACGAACATAGTTGAACAAATGTTTTTGTAGTCTGAATGTGGCTGACAATGAGGGCTGACTGAGAAGCCAATGATAATGACACTGGGTTTTGATTCTACTGCATGTAGTGGCTTTTTGGGTGCCTAGTCTGTTTGGATGCTCACCTTCCTAGACCTGGATGGAGGGGGGAGGACCTTGGACTTCCCACAGGGCAGGCCACCCTGACTGCTCTTAGGACTGGAGAGTGAGGGGGAGAGGCATGGGGGGAGGGGAGAGAAATAGGAGGAGCAGAGGAGGTGGAAATTTTTAATGAATAAATTTTAAAAAATCTGATCTTTGAGTAAACACTTTTTCATTGACTCACGAAACACACCACCCACTGACTTATCCAACTTGAAGCCCATGCCATGAGAGGGAGCCTACACCTAACACTGCAGGACCCAGAGGCTGGACAGCCCAGGAATTCAGGATAGAAGCAAACATGACTGGAAAAATTTTCAATGAACTGATTAGTAATGTTGTTCTCTTATACTCGTAGGTTGGAGCCCAGCCTAATTATCATAAGAAAGGCATCATCTAGCAACTCATGGGAGAAGATGCAGAAACACAAAGCCAAACACTTGGAGGCTTCATGGGAACCCCACAGAGAAAGAGAGGATGAATTATGGGTACTAGTGGGATCGAAGACACCATGAAAACATGGAACACAGGGCTAATAGAGGATCACAGAGACTAAAGTGATAATCACAGACCCTGTATGGGTCCGAGCTAGACTTTCTGCATATGAGTTATGGTAGTGTATCTGGGTATTATTGCGGAACTCCTAACACTGGGAGTGAGGGAGTTCTCTGATTATTTTACTTGCCCTAGGGACCTTTGTCTTCTACTGGATTGCCTCATCCAGCCCTGTTATGAGTGATTGTGGCAAGTCTAAGATAAATTGTGATACCATGTGTGGTTAATATCCCTGGGAGGTCTGATCATATTGAAGGCAAAGAGAAGAGTGGATTTGGATTTGAGGGATAGGGGATGTGGGGGGCTAGGGAGGAGTGGAGGGAAGGAAGATTGTAGTTGGAATGTAATATATGAGAGGAGAATATAAAAGGAAAATGAATAAGATCTCTTGAGTAAATTGGGAGCATGAAAATCATGGGAGAGGGTAGAAGGTGGGGGAAGGAAGAGAGGGGAGTGGATAAAAATATATAGTTAAATAAAAGGAATGAAATCACTCATGTGCAAGGTCCTAAGGTGAAGGCCACTCTCAGGATGAAAACAGCATGATTTGCCCTTACATGAAGGACTTTACATCTGTACATAAAACAAACTGTGGATCAAAACCGTTTTGAAACCAGCTCTGTCCACAGTGAGACATGGGCAGACCCTCCTCCTGTCCCTCTTCCTCACTTCACATGGATGACTGGCGTGCAGACTCTCCGTGCCCAGCAGAGTCCAGCTCTACTGACTCCCTGCCAAAGTTTACAACAGTTGTCTCAACAAAAGACTTAGAAAATTTCTAGTCTAAGAAGTAAATGAATGAGCTCACACTTGTACTGTTTGGATCACACTTTTTTATTTTTGTTTTGCTTGTGCTACAAAGTTTCCACCTCATATACACACACAAGCAAAGGTAATTCTCTGAGCTTGAATTTCTCATGGTCAGAAAGAAGATGAGAGTTTGTTCCAAGTAACACTGTCAGTATCTTTGTTGCCCCCAGGGAGGCGTGGCTAGAAGGATACCAGGACAGAACTAAGAGGCAAAAAGACTGATTTAGGAGGTTTTAAATTCTAAGAAGAGACAAGAATTGGTGCATGATATTACATTCCTAGGTTAAAATCTAGTATTGATAAACTGAGGTGAAGATATGTATAGGGAATTAATATATTTTAAGCATTAGAGCTGGGAGTCAGCTGACATTAGCAGTTTCCCAAGTTGACTGTGGGAGAATTTAGGGCACTCAGTCTCAAATGAGCTTGAACATCCCTTTATCTTCAAAGGTCCCACATGTGACCTATTTATTAGGCTCCTTTTCTGACTGTATATCCTGCCAAATGGGTGATAATAGCACAGAGGTAGCTTCTAATGTATCTCAGAGAATGGAGTAAAGGTATGGCTGCAGGAACCAAGGTTTCTGGCTACAAGACTAGATTCTCTCACTGGAGATCTCATAAGGTAGGGAAAGTCACCCAATAAACAAAAATAAAAAACAAGGCAGTCTCTTTACTGTCCACTGTCCTTGTAGAACAAATAGATCCAGTTATAAAGTATGTCCAGTATATATTCTATATATCAGAACTATATAGCTAAATAAAAAGTCATCTACCTGATCACTCACAGATATATGTGCCCATAAGACTGAGATGTAATCATGAGATTATATATACACATCACTTAAGATTATACACTACAGTGCAAGTATTGGGGAGACACCAAGCTGCTTCAGCAAAAGTGAGCAACAGCTTTCAGAGTCGATGATCCTGCAGAAATTGACTGGTTAGGATTAACCTCCATCATATGTTCATTCCTCTGGTGGGTTGACATCTGAGAAACTAGTTGTCACCTGCTATACCACTCATAGCCCTTGACAGCAGGCAGCATTGGACTTAGGTAAATCAGTGATTTAGTTAAACATTGAATATATTTGACCATATGAGAGGATTTTTTCCTCTATGCAAACACTCCATTTTTGTAGCAGACTCAAAGCATCCAAAAGTTTGGCAGCTACTGGAATTAGTTTCCATGAATTCTAATGACTGGCTATATTTAATCTACAACCTAAAATATTAACTCCTTTCCATTTATTTTAACATAGTGTCTTTATTTCCTTTGGAGACAGACTCAAATTAAATCTTGGCCTGCCCTTGTACCATATGTATCCCAGGATTATAGATATGAGTCTCCATACTGGATATACCTGAGTGATAACTGATCAACTTTACTTTTCTCTGATTAGTAAATTATTGATTAAAAATGCCCCCACTCGGCTGTAGGAGGAGAGGAAAGGTTACTCATTCATCCTGAAAAAAGATTGGAAGACTGGTCTTTGAACTGACTCGGTTAGAGACCTCACACCTATATTCTCCAAAATTCTCCACCTGTACAGGATCTATTCTGAGTCCACACTTTGTTGGGGACAGAGTCATCCTCTCTGTGAGCTGAAGACTCTGGTTATTGAAGATCCAGCGGATGGAGACATCAGTGTCAGGTGAAACACAGGTGAAGATCACAGATCTCTGTGATGAGACTTTGCCATTAGTGATTTGCACGAAAGGCTGTTCAACAAACTCTGTGAAGAAAGAGAGGAGAATACCAAATGACAGGAGTCCAGAGAGTTAAATGAGCCCTTCTTTGGTTCATACTTAATAAAGCCTCCAGGGGGCAGAGTTTGAAGCTGTGACTATAGACAAATCTTGTGCTTTGGATTTGCCACCCAGGGACTCCGTGACCCTGATTCATACACTGTTTCTTGTGACTCAGTTTCTCTGTAATATGACACACAGTGCATGATCATTGCTGGGTACACGAGAAAAGCTTAGTTATGAGCAATGATCTGTCCTTGGGATGGGAGTGGCTCATCTTAGCAACATCTGTTACTATTTACCTGCAGAAGAAAATGCCCTAGACTGGACCCATGAATAGAAAGAAGAACCTGGAGTAGCTGCCTCCACTGTTTCTTCCCTTGGTGCCTTGACTTTCTTCCTGTGAAGTCTCATAAACCCATCAGAACAGTAGGCTAGTGGCTTAGACGCCTGTCCACTGAGTCTCAGGAGGAGATGTAGAGATGGCTTATATAACTGCAGCTGTCATGGCAGTACACGGCTGGCTCTACATTCCTAGGGATTTGGAGAATCAGGAAAGCCTTGTTCCCTGTCAGCTCTAACAGGAAATCAGAACAGACAGTGACAAATATCTCCCCAGTATAACCGGTGTAGCCAGGGGAAGTGTTGGAGTCAGGGCTCCTGTTGCTCTCTGTGAGGACCCCATGGCTCCCTCATCCATTGTCTACTTGACTTGCAAAGTCTGTCTTAAAGCTATGTGTATGACGACAGCCTCAAGAATCTGCACTGAGGCCGCCATCCTTGTGCTGAGTTACCCAGCATACATTCTCCTCTGTGCAGAGAAAGACAGGTGAGAGATTCTGACCTATTGCTGTTTGTCCACCCGCTGTGTTCCCTACAGTAAGTACCCACACCCTATGGTGGGACCACATTGCAGTAGGGAAGAGAGCAGGCACAGCCCAGTTCTGACAGTTCAGTGTATGCAGTAAGATAAGCCCCACACAGCAGCTGAAGGCCCCAGAGTCACTTACTGTTCACATGGAATTGCACATAAGCTTTTTCAGTTTTGAAGTAACTTTTCAAAATTTCTAGTGTGTACATTCCTGCATCTTTCTCAGCGACGTCCTGGAGCAGCAGGGATCCGTTGGGGTACACAGTCTCTCTTCTGCTGTACTGATCCCCCCAGGTGGTGGTATTCAGGACTCTGCTGCATTTGACAATTTCAAAATATGGGACTCTATATATTGCCCTGTACCAGGTAAAGGCCTGTAGATCTTCTGGAAGATTATGAACTTGGAGAAGAACATCTTCCCCTTCAATAGCATACAGAGGCACGGGTTGGATCATGAGCTGGGAAGAGGTGAGAGGGTTACAGCATGGGGAAAGGGAGCCTGGAAGGGGAAAGAAGAAAGCTGTCACTTGGGGATCACTGTACATGGTGAAAGGATGATGACCTCCATCTTGCAGATGGGTTTGCCGCTCACTCTACCTAGAACTGCAGCTGTGTCTATGCTACTTAATGACGGTCTGCAACATGACCTCCTCCATTCCATGTATGTTCCCAACAGTGTCATTTCCTCATTAGGAAACTCTCCCTCTCCCCTCGGGTGTCGTCATAGCTGTTCCCTAACTGCTCCAGTCAGACACTGCTCACTCATGCACAGTGAGGTCTGAGATGATGTCTCCCCTTGAACTCAGCATGACTGGGATTTTCACTTTATAGGTTTTTTTTCAGTTTCCATTGTGGCTCCACTCAACTCCCAACATCACACTATACATGCCCTTGTTTCCCTGCCTGCCAGCCCCCAGGACTGGGTCTGGGTGGGATCTGGGAGCCGTCTGATCTTCAGGGAAAACTAGGGTCTTTAAAAAGGTGTGGGTACCAGACTGGCTGGTTTTATGTCAACTTGACACAAAGGAGAGTTGCTTGAAAGACAAGGCCTTGGTTGAAAATGCCACCACCAGATCTACCTGTGGGCAAGACTATAGTACATTTTCTAAATTGGGACTTGATAGGAAAGGGTTGAGACCACTGTAGGCAATTCCATCCCTGGGCAAGCTGTCCTAGGTGATATAAGGGTATAGTTTGAGCAAGCCACAAGGAGCAAGCCAGTAGGCAGCACTCCTCCATGTTATCTCTACCAGTTCCTGGATTTCATTTATAACACTCTCAATATGGAGCTAATATATGCCCCATTTTGACATGGATGACCTAAAAATCATTGTTTCCCATCAGTTTTGACAAGAAATAAGAGTAGAATACTGGAAAAATACTCCCTTTGGTCACTTTATCCCAGCCTTGGAAAGAAGGCAGGCTTAGGCTTTCCCCATTCAGAGACCCAAGAGACTGAGATGATGCTAACATTTTAGGATGATTACATCAAGGTATTCCTTGGTACAGGAGGAGTGAGGAGATGGAAGCTGATCTATGGCCGTTTGTTTCTACCATGTTTATCCTGTACTAAGTGCACAAACCTCCACCTGCAGACACAGTGAAGAAAGAAAGGAGGCTAGGCCAATCACAACAGTCCTGTGTATCTAAACCCCACCTAGCACTGAAGAATCATAATGAATCACTTACTGTTCACGTGGAGTTGTACATGTGCTTCTTCACTTTTCAGATCTGTACCCATAATTCGTAGGGTGTACAATCCAGCATCATTCTGAGTGATATTGTGAAGCAGCAGGGATCCATCACTGTTCAATGTCTCTCTACCACTGTGTGCAGGCCCCATCACACTTGAATTCATGTCTGTCGTGATTCGGGCAATCTCATGGTCCCTAAACACAGACATTCCTTTGAACCAGGCAAAGCCTTGAAGATTCTCCGGGAGATGGTGAATCAGTAGACGAACACTTCCCCCTTCAGCAGCAATAGGTGGCACAGATTCAATAGTGGGCTGGGCAGAGGTCACATGGCGCCCACAGTTCCAAAGGAAATCTAAAAGGGAAGAGGGAGATCCAACTAAAGTGGAACTTTTGTGCTTGACTAAGATGAGGCCCTGTGTCATGAGCATCTGTGTCCATTGCTGAGCCTATGTTTGTGGGGGAGTGTTTCCTGCCCTGATTTCTGTTGGTCTGCACACGACCTTCATGTTCTCAGTGTCCCCACACTTGTCATTTCCACTATATGGCTCTCTCTCTTCATTTGTCAACAATGTCTTGACTTCCTGTCTGCCATCAGACGGCTACTCCATTTACAGTGGATGATGTTGGGTTGGTGCCTGCCCAAACTCTTCCCCTACATATGCTGTGTCTTTACTCTCTGACTTTGTTGTTGTGTTTCACTTGGGGTTGCAGCCAACACTTGAATTTACCTGCAAGCTTTCTTTATTTCAAGTCCATCATCAACTGGGACATCATAATAACCATGAGTTATCTTATACTTTAAAAAGAAAATTCTGCCTAGAAAAAAACTCAAATACGTGTGGAGACTGAATGAATGAACTGATATCCCAGAATCCTGTATGCTCATGCATTTATCTGAGAAACTCAAACGTTTGTGAATACAGTATTGGATCATTCCATTTGCATTGATTCTTTCCACTTATTTACATATTATACTTATGTTTGAGTAGTGTAAGGCCTATACTAGTGTGGGTGGGTGGGCTAGGACACAGTATTTAAGTGGAAGTAAGAAGACTTCTGTTCATTGCTCTCAGCTTCTCCGACTACAAAGCAAATGCCCATATCCACTGGACCATATTAGTGATGCACATCAGCTTGATTTTTTTTTTATTTGCCCATCAAACTGAGAACAGCAGTCTTCAGAATATTGTATTCATGTTTAATAACTTTTTGGAAGAATATTTTCTCCTCCACCCTTACTGTTTAATACTCATTGAGAGCTTCCTAATGCCGAGCCTCTCTCCAAACTGTATCTTCTCCCCTACAAACACTGAGACTCCTCACATGTCTTTGTGCCACCCAGGAGCCTCTGGATAGCATGTCAGTCCTCTCCTCTCACACACTTTCTCCTCATCTGTGGGCAGAAGCAGCTGAGATGTGGTACCGTCTATGCAGAGAAGTAAAGGGGGCCTCCATTGTTTGGTTTGGCTGATCTGTCATCAGTATATCTGTCCAGGATAGTTCCCAAGCTATGCTGTCCTTTCCCTACCTGAGCTGAGTCTCTTCCCTGGAAGGACCAACTCCCCGAGTCCTCTTGCCTGTGGGTGGGTCTGTAATCAAAACACTGCTCTGCCTCTCCACTTCCATTGCTACACTATATTCCTTTCCCATTCCATCTTTCTGTTTCTGACCCCTAGAACACAGAGTGAAAGCCAAGGGTAATAATTATCCTTAGGACATGAGGTAATAGCAACTGACCCTGGAACTGTACTCTGCTATGTCCTGGCTGAAGTTTTTCAGCACTAAAGTAGAAAAGTCTATACAATTATATGAAAAAGAAAACAAAACTGGGCACTCAGTCTGCCTTGTGTTTTTGTGCTCTAGTAACAAGGAATTTGTTCCCAGCCGGAAGGTGGAAAAACTGTCCTTGAAGTTCCAAAGGGACCAGGTGAGTGATGTTTGGAAAAAAAAATCTTTTCTCAATGGAGTCACCATCAGACTGGGTTGTGATTGGGGTCAAAGGCCCAGGAGGTGTTAGGAGTCTCACATCTCAGAAAAAGGTTGTGAGCTCCTTCATCTGTGCAAGATTTTCAAGACCATGCACCCACTTCCTCTGTTTGTTGAGCTGTGCAATGGGTATGCCAGTGTGCTCCTTGGTCTTTCTGTGCTGACTTGGATCTCTATTTAGTTGAATCCTCTTGGATATTGTATATTTCCCAAAGGAAAAACATAAAGTGAGAAACATAACGTGTTCTCATGGCAGTGTAGCAAACACATTAAGCAGCTGGTACATCTGAGAATTCTGTGACCCTGATTTCCGGGTTTTTAAAAACAGGAGAAGAGCCAAGCTACTAGATAAGCTCTGGAAAATACTTTTCTGCCAGTTCATTGTGTGTCCTGATAACATCCCTGGTGATCTCCAGGGGAACTACAATTCCTGTCCGGGAAACAGTAAGGTCAGCACATTCTGTAGCTTTTTGCTGCAGGAGAGAATTCCCTGAGCTGGGCACAGAGGACGAACACTTGTCAGGACAAACTATTTCCTGGGTTCCTCTCTTTGGGGACCATGACCTTCATGTAAAATCTTATAAGCCAAAAAAGACAGTTGGTAAGCAGCCTGGAGTCCTGATGAGCTAAACTCCTCTCTCTGAAGGAGGTGGCCAAGGTATCCTATTATCATAGGATAACAACCATGGCTCTCAGAACACTGCCCTCTTTGGCTGCACACATCACAAGACTCTGCCTGCTAGGGAGCACTGTCCCTGTCATCAGAAAGCCAAAATCCAACACTTATAAAAATCATCTCATGGTCACCCATAGTTGAGCCTGAGACAGAGGTGTGCAGGCAGAACATGCTGGGCTCCCATCTCTGTGAGGACCACATGCTTTCCTCAACCAAGTACAATATTAATTCCCTCAGGGTCTTTTGCAAGGAAACATTCCTGGTTAGAATGCCTAGAGTCTAGACAGAGGCTGACATCCTTGTCTGACTTACCCACCAAGCATCCACCTCTGTGCAAAGTGAAGTCAAATGAAGAATTCTAATCTATTGCTATTATTCTATACCATACATGCCTGTGCCCTGAAGTAAATGCTCAGACTCCAACACAGGGGCACAATGCATCTGGACAGTAGGCACAGACCTCTCTCCTGTGTGTATCCAGTGAAATGAACCTCACCCAGCTCATAGAGTTCACAACGAATCACTTACCGTGAACATGGACGTATGTGTATGTTGTTGATATGATGTTTAAATACTTATCATAGCTTCGTAGGGTATAGAATCCTGTGTCTTTCTGGGTAACATTTTTAATCAGCAGGGATCCGTTGTAATATATTGTCTCTCTACCGCTGTGCAAAGGCCCAGATGCACTTAAATTGATGTGCCGTCCATATATTGCAATCACAGCTTTCATATTTGTTAGCCCTTTGAACCAGACTAAGGTTACAGTCTTCTCCGGCAGATTGTCGACAAGAAAAAGAATGTTATCTCCTTCGGCCATCAGGGGTGGCACTGATTCAATGGTCACTGAGGCAGTGATGGACAGGTGCCAGAGAGCTAAAAAGGAGGCTGGAGAGGAATTGAGAAAAACCACCAGTATTAAACTCATCTTCTGGTGTGATTAGGGGTGTACCCACCCTCCTCTGCAGATATGAGCCACATGACTTCCATTGACAAAGGCGGAAAGTGTTATTAACTCTCTTAGGAATTCTATGCTCACATGTCTGCCTGGATCCCCCTCAGCGGCCCACATCCCTCCTCACATAGAGTATTTGGTGTGAGGAACAATGCCTCTTTGAACTCTTCCTTTGGAGACTCCTCACTTTCTGATTTTTTTCTATCTTCCCATTGTCATTCTAGTCAATCCATGGCTTTACCTTCTGGATATACTGACATCAGGTCCTCAAGAACCAGAGATTTTGTTTGTTTGTTTGTTTGTTTTTGTATTTGGTTTTGGTAATGGTTTTAGTTATGTTTTTTTGAGACAGGAACTCTCTGTCCTATAACTTGCTCTGTAGACAACATTGGCCTTTAACTCAGAGTTCACCTGCCTCTGCTTCCCAAGTGCTGGGATTATAAGGTCTGAACCACCAGTGCCCCCCCATTGAACCATGGATTTGTTAAGGGCAGGATTAGTCTGACCTTTTTGTCTGGTTCAGCTCCTAGAAAAGACTCAGGCACAAGTGGAGAAAGGAAAGAAGGAAGGAAGAAGGAATGTGTCTTCATGGATTTCTCTTCACAGTTCCAAGGTTTGGAGCTTATGACAATAATTGCATTCAAGTGTGAAATAAATGATTATAGATTTACTTGTGTAAATATGTGTGAGTATTTGTGTAGGCTGATGTCTCCTTGGGAACAGATGAAGATGTATGCAATGACTCTGTGTGTAAGCACAAAGGGTCTGCATGTGTTGGCACATGCCACAATACCTATGTGAAGGGCAGAGTAGAGCCTGCAGGAATCTGTTCTCTCCATCCACTGTGTGGGAGATTAGGATCAGGTTGTCATATCTTCACACGCTGAGACATCTCGCTAGTCATCCCTGTTTGATTTTGTTTGGAGGGTTATGCTGTCAAGATTGGGAACAGCTGTCCTCAGAACACTGCAGTCCATGTAATTCGCTGTGTAGATGGAGTATTTGAGACTTTTCTCTTACCACCATCATCTCCGTTCTCTGAGAGCTTAGGCTTCTGAGCCTATGTTCCTCCCTGTGACTTCTGCCCCATAACTGCAAACAGAAACCTTGAGTCTCATCTTGGGCTCCTGTCCTCTTTAGGAGACTCCAGCCAGCTTCTGAGACCCCCTCCCCACAAAGTCAGAAAGTGGATACTCTTACCTGTGATCAAAAACCCCTGCCAGGGGGTACACCCTTTGCTGAGAAGCACAGAGGACTCCATCAATCTTCCCACTTGGTGACCTGCCTCTGAGGAGAAGAGCCTCAGCTCCAGCACAGAACTCAAGCTCTGATCTTCCTCCTTCTAGGCTGAGATTCTTCTCAGACAAGAGCACTTCCTAGAAAACCATGGGTTATGAGAGTGGGGATTGAGGTCAAGGCACTTCTTAATCCCTTCCACTCTCAGTGTTGTCTTGCAACCCTCTCAGCTTGATTTTATATTTCTCCACCAAGCAACATTTGTTTAGCAACAGTGATGATAAACATCCCTATGCCCTCAGGAGCAATGACTCATCCCAGGGCTGACACCTGCTGTGTCCTTGCCTTGGGTCTGTCAGCACCAAAGAGGGAGCCTCCATCCTGCCTATGTGACCATGTGATACAGAGACCAAGCTGAGCACCCAGCCTACCCTGTGTTCTCAATGCTCTGGGAATATGGTATTTACTTAATTTCTGCAAGAAGGTGACAGAGATGTCTCTGAGGGCTGGAAAGAGGCAGGCTGAGTAATGACTAGGGATGAAGATCAATCCTTTATCACTAATGACACCAGTCAAATTAATGATCCAAGAAAGAGACCCAGGAGCAAACTCAGGGTTGGGAAAGAGGTGACCCGTGTGTCCTTGAAAGGACTGTGGGCTCCCTCTTCCTATGGAATGTTTCAAGACAACATTCTAGAATTTTGGGTAGGGTGAGCCCATGTTGTCCCTGATCTTCCTGGACCACCTTTGCCCTTTGCCTGGGTGATTCCCTAGTGGTAATCTTGTCTTCCCCTTTGAGAGATGCCAGGAGGAGGGAGGCCTTCAAGGTCCCAATGCCAAAAAGTGTTCTCAGGCAAAGGAAGGAGCCAGGAGGTCAGAGCAGGGTCTTCTGAAGATGTTCAAGGTGAGCAAAGACAGAGATGGAAATCAGTCTGCACAAGGAAACAATTATTAGAGCATTGAGCAATGCCCTGCTATCGCCCCCTGGAGGTCACTGGGAAAACTGCAATCTGATGTCTAGGGCTATAGCAAGCATGATCAAGAAGCCAAGTGTGAAATTCCCTGATACATTCAGCACAGGTGGGATGCAGGACTTGTCATCCTAATCAGTGTGCTTTTCAGGATTAGTAATTCCTTCTAATGTAGTATGGGTGTAGACAGGGTTCTGGATTTGTCCTGGAAAGCCCTGGACTAAAATTGGAAATGGTGTAAATCCAGAGAACCGGCATTCTCAGGAGGAGCCTTCTGCTCAGGAAATTTAGGAAGAAAGTCCTAGGACATTTTTCTTGAGAGTGAAAGGACAGGACACAGCTAGGCATGGTGACGAATGCCTTTAATTCCAGTACTCAGGAGGCAGAGGCATGTGGATCCAGGCCTATCTCATCTATGGAAAAAGTTCCAGGACAGCTGGGGTTACACACAGAAGTCATTTCTGATAAAAACAAATGGGAAAGAACACTAATGGGACTGTAATGCACTTTCTGAGCAGTCACTGCTATCTAAATCCCACCTTCTCTTTGCCCAGAGGATGCTGATGGGTTTTGCTCTTGAGTACAAATCACATTGATTCAAATAGGTGTGTCTTCCCTATACGCTGTTCTAACGTTTCTTTCTTTTGTTGTGATAAAAAAAATCCTCCAAAAAGAGTAGTTTAGGAGAGAGAGTAGAGTCCATTTTCCTACTGAGAAATATTGTAGCATTGAAGAAAGCATGCTATTTGCTGGCTCCCCCTCTGGCTCGGGTATGGGTCCTCCTCTACCATTTAAGACAATCACTTACAGAAATGTACAGCCTTACCTGAGTTGGTTGAGACTGTTTTCTTCGTTGTTGTTTGTTTGTTTTTTCATCCTGACCACAGTTTCCCCTGACTTCTCTCCTTCCAGTCCATCTGCCCACTTCCCCCCTCTGCATTGATCTACTTGTATGTTTTATGCCAATACAATATAATTTTTATTAATGTAGCTCTACAGCAGAACTTGAAATCAGGGCTGGTGGGATACTACCAGAAGTTGTTTGTACAGGATTGTTTTAGCTATCTTGGGTTAGTTTTTTCCATAAGAAGTTGAATATTGTTCTTTGAAGTTCTGTCAAAAATTGTGTTAGAATTTTGGTGGGAATTGCATTGAATCTGGAGATTAGTTTTGATAAGATGGCCATTTTTACTTTGTTAATCCTACTGATCCATGAGCATGGGAGATATCTTTTGATATGTTCTCTAATTTCTGTTTTCAAAGACTTAAAGTTTTTGTCCTAAAGGTCTTTCACTTGCTTGGTGACTTAGGGTTTTTATTGCTGTGAAGAGAAACCATGACCATGGTCACTCTTATAGAGAAAAATATTTAATTGTAGTGATTCAGTTTTAGAAGTTCAGCAGATTATCATCATGGTGAAGAACATGGTGGTAAGCAGACTGATATGGGACTTGAGAAGTAGGTGGGGGTCCTACATCTTCCAGCAACAGCAAATGGTCTGTCTGCCAGAAAAACAAAGCTCAAGTGAAAGAGACCTCAAAGCCCACAAACAGTGACACATTTTCTTCAACAAGGCCACACCTCTTAATAATGCCACTCCCTTCGAGGGGCATTTTCTTTAAAACTGTCACGTGGTTAGAGTTGCACTAAGATAGCTTTTATTATTTGTGGATATTTTAAAGAGAATTTTAATCACTGATTTTTTTTATCATCGCTTTTACCATTTGTATGTAGGAGGGCTTCTGATTTTTTTATTTATTTATTTATTAAAGATTTCTGTCTCTTCCCCGCCACTGCCTCCCATTTCCCCCCTACTTCCCCAATCAAGTCCCCCTCCCTCGTCAGCCCAAAGAGCAATCAGGGTTCCCTGCCCTGTGGGAAGTCCAAGGACCACCCGCCTCCATCCAGGTCTAGTAAGGTGAGAATCCAAACTGCCTAGGCTCCCACAAAGCCAGTACGTGCAGTAGCATCAAAAACCCATTGCCATTGTTCTTGAGTTCTCAGTAGTCCTCATTGTCTGCTATGTTCAGCGAGTCCGGTT